TATATATATATAACTTTCTTTCTATCGTAAAAACGAAAAGGATGATGCATCCTATTTACACTATTGAAAGTTCGGGATTGTAAATTTTGGGAGTTGATATATATATAATAAAAGTTAAGAAATAAATACAAAAATTATGAAAATTGACGAAAAAGTATAAGATGTAAAATTCCAATTATATTGCAATTGTCAGTGCTTCCACTTTAATTTTTATTAAATATATTTCCTTTTTCATGGTTAGGTTGCTATTTCTAGTATTGCTTTGCTATTTATCTTGTTTTTACGTGGTTAATGATTTTAGTTTTCTTCTCTTATGTGGTTGTAACTCATTTTATCGAATAATATTTTCTTCATATATATATTGTAATTAGAACATCAGAAAAATCATAGAATTATTTTAAAATTAAAAATAAAAAAAAAGACGAAAAGTGATAAAAAGTTTCAGACTACTGCTATCTATTTAGAAAACCAGAAATTTATTTTTTTATTTTAAAAATAGTTGCAGAGTTTGACAACAGATAACGCTGTGGAGTGAAAAAATTATACAGCATTTTTCCCCCCGCTGCATGTCAAACTATTCCAAGTGCAATACTTGCTCTGGTGTCTATTTCCTCTTTCGACAGCGCCACATTCTTGAAAAGTATTCTGGTAATTTTGCGCGTACAACTCCCAAAATTTACAATCCCGAACTTTTAATAGTGTAAATAGGATATGTCATTTGAAATAATGCTTGGAGTAAATTATATATTTTATTGATTTAACATTCTTTTTCGTTTTTGCTTGGGATGAGAGAGAAAGAAAGTGACTCGTTTATTATAAATCTACTTAAATGCATTATAACTGTCTGGTACTTTGTGTGAAATAAAAATGTACAATAATTAATAAGTGTAATATTATATTTCAATGACTTACTATTGTATTATAACAATTGAATGACTTATAATTCTATTATTATATTTTTTTGCCTGTTCATTACATTACTATATTCCGATGGCTTATAGTTAATGTATTTCAATAATTGTAATATTATTATTGATAATAAACATAGAAGTGCTTAGAAATAAATTTCAATGTAGTATTCAATTTAGTTCTTAAGAGATTATTTTAATTCTTTTTCCTCTAGTGCTGTTTCTGGGCTAAGTACATTATTTGCTCACGATGGCGATTCATTTCATCGAATAAGAAAATGCGTTATAAATAGTAATTTTGTATACACTGTCTCTATAATCACAATATTCTTGACAGTAATTTTAGCCAACATATCGCCTGATTACTTTATTCTTTTAGACAATGCTCAGAATGGTAGTTTTAGAAAATAGCCATAATTTGAAATTCGAGTTTGAGCAAATTGGACTCACTTCAAATGCATGTTAGGAAAGGAGATACTGCTCAGAATGCATGCTCAATAAAATAAAAATAGCTGGATTGATCGTTTGGCTGTTATTTTTTACTTATTTCACTGCTAGCGAAGTTTTGTAATGATTGCATTTTTTTAATAATGATTTTTCTTAGAAATCAGAAAAATTTAAGTTACTTTCATTTTTTCAATGGAAAAATAAATGTTAAGAATTTGATTTTATAGTTTAACACTGAAAAAGCTAATTTTGTGACAAGTACATTAACTTAGGCCCTCATTTTGTACTATACCCGTTATTTAAACATTCATTTTAAATAATAATCATTCCTGAAATATTTTGAGCTAGGTACTATAGAGTAGAAATATATTATTATTTAGAAATTAATGATGCGAAAAATACTTATAAAAATATTGGAACAACATGTAGAAGTGATTTAAATAATAACAGATATAAATTTTTGATAAAATCTTAT